AAGAAGAAATCGTTTTAGACTCGGCAAAATAAATATAAAAAATTGAACCTGGTGAAATCGAAGAGTTTAATACGAAGATCAATTACCATGAAACTTTGCATCTTGATTTCCGCACCTATATATATCTCAAAACAACGTTTTCTATACTTGCCCAAATACAGTTGAAATAATTAGGCACATTAACTTATGAAACAATTTTTCTTGTCCTTAATTAGCTGGGCCGCGATCAATCTTTTTGTAATTTTTGAAAAGAAAAGGGAAGATCATGCTTTTTAATTTTAATCAATATATCCTTGCTTATAAACGAAGAACACTAATAATTAGCATTAAAGACTTGGAAAATTAAAAAAAAACTACGTAACAAAAAACCCATAACTAATTCTAATCTATTTCTTCGGGGGAGGCCTCTCATATCGGCCAAAAAAAGGGGGCATATTCATCAAACCAAGAAGAAAGATTCCCGCAAAACTTTTAAAAGAAAAGAAAAGAAAAGCAGAAACATAAGATAATTAAGGATATTAATGTTGGTCATTGCCAAGATAAAGAGATGGGAAATCAGGCCAAAAAGATTAGAATTAACATGACAATATATAAAACGATCAAGATGAATATGACACCTAAGGGCTTTGTTTATTTGTTCTTCTCAAAATCAATTATGAACATAAAATCAAATACTTATACATGGAAAAAAAAATCAATTGTGAACCCTAACTCATGATTATCTCATAAGGTATTCCTTAAACATCTCGAAACAAAAGACGGCAATTCACTGAGCCTTTGGGACAAAAAGATAACATTTTGCGCATTTGATGCTTCCAACTGATTGAGGAACCAATTCATGCCAATGGAAAAGGTTTTCAAGCAATTTGCATGCTTAATAATAAGTCTTGCAAATTGAAACTCACTTTTAGAGCCAATAAAGTCATGAAGATAGACTTCCTTCAAGTGTGATGACAATAATAGACATTTGGGAACATCCTCAAGTGTTGACCTTTCATCATCCTTAACTTTATCAATTACAAGAATTTGAAGCTTGGGACAGTTTTGGAGCCAATTTAATATGATATTCAAAGGATGACCCATTGAAAGTTCCACATGGGTCAAATTGTAAAATGTTGGAATCTCATATGTAGATAAGATAGACGGGACATCATCATCTAATGTGACCAAACGTTGAAGCATTTCAATGTTGTGATCATAATCGCTGGTAGAAATTCTGTTTAGTACCAATTCTTCAAGTAGCACACATCTGGATAGGAGTAAGGAAACACATTTAAAACATGGGAAATGAACGTTCTCCAAATGCAAGGCTTTAAGGGAAGGCAAATCAACTGAAGAAATATTACCCACTCTTCCCCCGCGCAACTTTAAACCCTAATGGTACCGGAAACAAAAATGCTGCAAGGCAAGTTCACAACATACCAATCTGGAAACCATAGCTCCAGATGTTGAACTCTGAGATTCAACACTTCTTTGACCCAAACTTCAAACTTGATAGGTCTTAGGCGTAAGTTTCCGGAGTATTTGATGCGAAACATTGTGATGGGGTTTGAATCTTTGAAAATGTTATTACTGAGTCCACAAATTGGACGAATGAAAGAAGAGTAGAAAAGCTTTCATCGTCAAAGTCAAGAGTGGGTTGTGAGAGCCAAACTGAGTTCCATCTCTTGGACAAGAGGCTTATGGCAGAAGCTTCTTTGGTTGAAAGAAAAGACAAAATATGATAAAGCAATGAGTCTGGTAAGTTGCTAATCCTATCTTTTAGTATAACTTCTTCGCCTTCGGTGTGTGAGTTTTAACGGAATCTGATTTTGCCATAACCTATAACCAAGGAAACACGTTCAGATGGTTTGCTGCTGAAATCTCTAGGTAAAAAATCTGCTGGGCAGGAAAAGGAAAATGTGAAGTATAGAAACCATACAAAGAGGAATTCAAGAGAGGGAAGAGGTGACGGAAACTTACACGACGATGGCGCAGCTCGGGCGAAGGAAATTAATTGCAGATAGAGTCTCCAAGGGTTTTCAGAATTTGCAGGCAAAAAAGGTTTTAATCTTCACACAACTTAATCAAGGGATTTTTTAAAGGATATTAATCTAACTGATATATGAATGCTTTTTTCAAAAGGGTTTTTTATTTACTGGATATGTGATTTTTCTCTTAAGAGAATCGCAACCAGGTCATAAATAAGAAAATTAATTATTTATTCCTTAGACCCATTTATAAGTCAGAGTTCTTAATTTTTATGTCAAATATATATATATATATCTAGAAATAGTGAGGACTGTGAGTAATTATTATTTTTTATTTGGGAACTATATGTAATTCTCCTTTTTTTTCACAAAGGATTTTTATATCAGATACGAGATCTTTAAAAATATGCATTTTGATAGGATATGATTACAGGAAACTATTGTTAATTATTCTAATATTTTATTTATTTAATTTTAAAAATACTTTTAGAATTTGAGATATTTGACTTTCTTTTATAAATAAAGGGATTTTTTTTTTTTAATCTGGCAATTCAGTTAAGCTTATAAGATTTGGAAGAGTAGGGAGGAGGAGAGTTTTCAATACGTATTTCCATTTGTTGTATATCCCAACAAGTAGGAACCGTAGTTAATGAATTTGAGGAGTAAGGTTTAATTTTTGTTTTGAAAGTTTTTGCTCATGAGTGATGTCCAATTGTCCAAAAGGTTTTTGAAAACCAATCTTTTCTTGGAAGTATAAAAAACATAACAATATCACCCTATTCGTTGACAAAATTAATTTTGATCATTAATTGATTTAATTATGCTAAGGTGGCTATGTCACATAAATGGCTATGGCAGAAGCTTCTTTGGTTGAAAGAAAAGACAAAATATGATGAAGCAATGAATCTGGTAAGTCGCTAATCCTATCTCTCAATATGGCTTCTTGGCCTTTGCCGTGATGGGTTTTATTGGACTCTAATTCTGCCATGACCAACAAAAACACGTTCAGATTGTTTGCTGCTGAAACCTCTAGATAAAAATCTTGGCAGGAAAAAAATAGGAAAGTGTGAAGTAAAGAAACCAAACAAAGAGGAATTTAAGAGACGGAAAAGGTGACCAACACTTGGGTACTATTTGGTATGAGGGAAATGGAGGGGAGGGGTGGGGAAGGAAAATTTTAATGAGATCTATTTAAAAAATTGAAAAAATGGGGTTTTAAAATTTTAATATAAAAAAGTAGTAAAAATTAATTAAAAGCTTTTAATCCCAATTTTTAATTTTTTTTAAATCAAGCTTATTAAAATTGTTCTTCTCCTCCCTTCCTCTCATTTTTCCTCATGCCAAACGGACCCTTACATGACAAAGAGGCAGATAGGTTCTTCTAGGATTTTCAAAATTCGTAGGCAAAAAAGGTTTTAATTTTCCCACGACTTAATTAAGGGATTTTAAAGGATATTTATCTATCTGAAATATGCATGTGATTTTTTTTTTCACCAAGGATGCATGTGATCTTTTTTATTTATTGAATATGCAATTTTCCCCCTAAGAGAATCACAACCATATCATAAATAAGGAAATTAATTATTGGGAAATTTCAATTAAGGACCGCAGTTGAGAATTTATTTCAAATAGCCCTCAAAACATTTTGAAATATCACTGCAGGACCAAAAGACCAAATTGAAATTAAAATTAAGAGTAAGATTACCATAATACCCCTCATTTTAATTTTTTTTTAAAATAAATTTTAATGGTTGCCAGAGTTCCGGCCACCAGAGGTCGGAGGCCCAGCCACCTATACTCCGGTGGCCGTCGCCAGAGGTTGGAGCTCCGATGGCTAGAAAGTTTTTTTTTGAAATAAGGTAGCCCAGGGAAGGTTTGAACCCATGACCCCTTGGCACACCAAAAATAATATGACCACCAAGCCAACCAAACTACTTAATCATATGATGCAAATAAAAATATATATAACAAAATAAACGTAACAGTCGAAGTGTAAGTGAATAAGTCAAATTCGACACTTTACAAGTAAAATTCAGCAATTTACAACAAAAATTTGGCGATTTACAAATAACATAATGAAATTGACAACCCCAAATGCAAGTGTTTAAGTGTAAATGAACAAGTGAAATTTGAAGATTTACAACAAAAGTTCATGAATTTACAACCCAAGTTCGGCTATTCACAAGAAACCTAGTGTAAAATTCGCAACCCAAAATATAATTGTTTGAGTGTAAATGAACAAGTGAAATTCAGCTATTTACAACCTAAATTCAGTGATTCATAAAAAACATAAATATTACAAAACTAATAAGAGAATTCATAACTTCAAATACAAGTATTCATATTTCTTATGAATCGTTGAATTTGGATTGTAAATATCTTAATTGTTGTTGTAAATCGCTAAATTACTTGTTCATTAACACTCAAACACTTACATTTTGGATTATGAATTTTACGCTGGGTTTCTTTTGAATAGCCGAATTTGGGTTGTAAATTCATGAACTTTTATTATAAATCTTCAAATTTACTTGTTCATTTACACTTAAATACTTCATTTGGGGTTGTAAATTCTATTATGTTATTTGTAAATCGCCAAATTTATTGTAAACTGTTGAATTTCACTTGTAAATTGTCGAATTTCACTTGTTCACTTACACTTGGACAATTGTGTTTGTTTTGTTATATATATTTTTATTTGCATCACATAATTAAGTGATTTGGTTGGCTTGATGGTCATATCACTTTTAGTGTGCCAAGAGGTCATGGGTTCAAACATTCCCTTGGCCACTTTATTTCAAAAGAAACTTTCTAGCTGCTGAAGCTCCAACCTTCGGCGGCGGCCACCTGAGCGTTGCGGTGGCTTGACCTCCGACCTCCGATAGCCAGAACTCCAGCAATCAGTAATATTTTTTTTTTTAAAAAAAATTAACTTGGCCATTTATTTCAAAAGAAACTTTCTAGCCACCGGAGCTCCAACCTCTGGCAGCGGACACCTGAGCATCGGTGGCCTGACCTCCAACCTCTGATGGCCGGAACTCCAACGACTATTAATATTTATTTTTTTAAAAAAATTAAAATGAGGAGTATTATGGTAATCTTACTCTTAATTTTAATTTCAGTTTGGTTTTTTGGTCCTACAGTAATATTTCAGAATGTTTTAGGGACTGTTTGAAAGAAATTCTCAACTACGGTCCTTAATCGATATTTTCCCTCAATTATTTCCTTAGTCCTATTCACAAGTCAAATCTTAATTGGTTAAAGTATTCACTTGATATCTAACTTTATACAAGATTTTAGTTAGGTTTCTTAACTTCAAGAAGTATATTGTTAGAATTTTAATCCTAAAATTGTTAATCTTTAACGATAATTTTTATAATGATCATGGTTATCTTGAAAATTAATTTTAGGTTAAGGTATATTTTGAGTCCTTCAACTTTCTACAATGTTTTAATTTAGTCCCTTAATTTTAAAAGCCATATTTGTAGTCCTTTAATCCTAAAAGCCTGAACAAAAAATGATATATTGAGATTTTGAATCTTGATAAAATATTCTCGAATATTAACATATTAAGTTTAATTTTCAAAACAACTATGATTATTATAAAAATTTATTATTTAAGACTAACAATTTTAGGATTAAACAAAAATAAAAACACACTTTTTAAGATTAAAGTATCAAATTAAAATCTTGTATAAAATTAAAGGACTAAATATATATTTTAGCTTTAAACTTAATATATGAGCATTTAAGAATATTTTATCAATATTTAAGATGTTAATATTATGAATTTTTTGTTAATGGTTTTAAGGATTAAAGGACCTAAAACTATTTTTTTAGAAATTAAGAAACTAAATTGAAACTCTGGCAAAACATATATAATTATATATTTACAAATACAAATACTCTCTCTGCTTTTATATATAAGTTTTAGATAACCGAATCATGTTTAACAAACTAGTAGCTTAAATTAGTTAGAAATAATAAATAGGTCAAATGTATTTTTTTTCTAAATTTACTCATATTTATTAAGAGAGTAAATGACAGAGGTAATAAATAAAAATGATAAAAGAAAATATATAAGGATAATATTAATGAAAAAAAGGGAGTACTAAATACAGTCAACTGATAATAAAATAAAATTAAAAAATACTGAGGCAAAGTAAAAAGTAACGTTTATATTTTAGACCAAATCTTTTTAGAAGGTAAAGCTTATATATAGGAGCGAATGGAGTAGTTAGTTAGGACTTGTGGGTAGTTATTTTTTTATTTGGAAACTAAATGTAATTCTCCTTTTGTACTTTTTTTAATTGTTGGGCTGCTCGAAATCAGATGCAGGATATTTTTTTTAATTTTTGTTACAACCCATTTTTATATCAGATATGAGATCTTTAAAAATATGCATAGGATATGATTCCAGGAAACTACTATTAATCATTCTAATATTTATTTAATTAATTCTTTAAAAAATTTTTAGAATGTGAGATATTTGAATATCTTTTATAAATAAAGGCATATTTTTATAACTTCGCAACTCCATTAAGCTTATAAGATTTGCACGAGTAGGGAGAAGCGTTTTCATCCGAGTTTTCAATAGGTATTTCAATTGCGGTATATCCCCATTCCCAACAAGAAGAATCAGTTAATAATAAATTTTAGGGGTAAAGTTTGATTGTTGTCAAGAGTGGTCCCCAAAAGTTTTCTTGAAAAGCAATATTGTCTCAGAAGTGTAAAAAACACACGTAACAATATTGCTCTTTTTTGTTGACAAAATTAAATTTAATATGTCAATGTTTATGTATACTTTGTTGATATTTAAAATTTCACCTTCGGTATTTTTATTAATGAAACTAATTTAAGATGATTAAAATGACATTTCGTGAAATTAAATCCAAAATAAAACCTCATATGAAATTAAAGCACCATAGTACACTTTTGCCTGAAAAACATAGAAATTGACAAACTGTTATGAATATTGCATGAGTGGATGTCCATAACCCCTAACCCTTAGAATTCTCATAGGATTCCTCACCTTCAAGTGTCATAAACTACATAACCTCCCTAATGAATGTTTTTGGGAGGAGTTTCTTATTGTTAATGCTATTATGATGTTCTTTATTCCTTTGTAACCTTAGTATAGGACTTCAATGCTTGGAGGCCTATAAATAGAGGGCATACATGAGGCATTTGTACCTTGAACCAAAGTGAATGAGAAAAGGCCATTGTCTTCTCTATCTCTTGCTTTCTTTT